CGGTCTTCCAAGGTGCCTTGGGGTGGGTTTAAGTAATCAAATTTCCAGGGACTCCTGACATACTGAAAAGGCATTTCGCTATCAGGGGTATGCTGTCATGGAATGAACTGCATTCCCCCCAAATGTGTCATCAATTTTATAATGTTATCAACCCTAACCTCTGGCTAATGAGGCAGGATGAGGTTATGCTAAAGGAGAGAGGTTGTTTGTTATGTTAATGAGGTGGTATTCATTTACTGAAGCCACCACCCTTCCTCAGATTACAACTCTGATCTGATGGAAGGGGAGTTTCCTTGAAGTGTGGCCTGCATCACCTTTATCTTACAAGAGGAGGGATCTATTACTGCCAAGAAGATCTGGGAGCACATCCTTTAGGCCCAGGGTCCCTGTGCTGAGAACCTACTAGGCTCAGGGGAAGACCAATGCGCAGACAAACTGGAGATTCCTAACGACGCTGAAGGAAGAGAATCTTCCTCCAGAACCAGAGAGAGAAGACCTTCCTCTGGACCCAGCACCCTGAATTCAGACTCCCAGCATACGCCGTCAAACAGAACACTTCAAGATCTATCTTTAAGTACAGTGCTGTCTATGATGGGATAATATCTATACAACTACAAAGATGACCAGCTAATGATTATTAACATAATTAATATCACGTACAAGTTAAACTTTGCTGAAGATAATTCAAAAACAGTTGTAGCAGTACTTTGACAGGGAGTTACCAGAAATTCAAGCCAGGATTAGAAGAGGGCATGGAACAAGGATACCAATGCTGGCATCAGATGGATTTGGACTGAAAATAATACCAGAAGGATGTTTACTTGTACTTTATTGACTATGCAGAGGTATTAGATAGTATGGATAATATGGCAAATAATGGCAAAACACTAAGTTGTGCTCACAAAGAAACTATACATAGACCAAGAGGTAGTCGTGTGAACAGGGCACTGCATGGTTCAAAATCAGGAAACGGTGTGCATGAGGGTTGTATCCTCTCATCATACTTATTCAATCTGAATGCTAATCAAATAAATAATTAGAGAAGCTGGATTATATGAAGAGTGTGGCATCAGGATTGGAGGAAGGCTATTAACAACCTGTGATATGCAGATACCACAGACTTGCGTGCTGAAAGTGAGAGGACTGGAAGCCCTGGCTGCTGAAGATCAAGGATTGCAGCCTTCAGTATGGTGACTACCCAATGTAAGGAAGACCAAAATCCTCACAACTGGACCAATAGGTAACATCATGAAAAGTGGAGAAATGGTGGACGTTTTCAAGGATTTTATGTTGCTCAGCTCCACTGTCAATGCTCATGGAAGCAGCAGTCAAGAAATCAGACAAGCCCTCTTAAAAGTGTGGAAATGCAAGGATGTTGCTTTGAGGACCCCGGTCCGCCTGATGCGAGTCATTGTACTTTCAATTGTCTCCTATGCATGTGACAGTTGGACACTGAATAAGATACATTTGAATATGGTGGTGGTGACGAATACTGAAAGTACTATGGCCCGCCCCACAGAACAAACAAATCTGTCTCGGAGGAAGTTTGTTCAGAATGCTCCTTCATGGCGAGGCTGGCAAGACTTGAGTCTTCCATACTTTGGACATGATTCGGGAGACACCAGTCCCTGTAGAAGGACATCATGATTGGTGACGCGGAGGGGCAGCGAAGAGGAAGGCCCCAGACAAGATGGATGGACACAAAAGCTGCAACCATGGGCGCAGCCACACGAACACTCGTGGGGAAGGCGTGCAGGAGCAGGTAGTGCTCAGCCCTTTTGTACCGAGGGTTGCTGAGGGGAACCCACAAGAGTCACCATTCTGGACTCTGTGCCTGTGCTACCATCCCAGTTTGGAAGGTGTTCTCTATTATATTCATGGTCAGCATTAACAACAAGAAAGCCCTCACTTCCCTCGTGTGGATTCCAAGTCACTGCGACCCCAGGAACCAGGTTAAAACTGCCCCAGGGCTTTATGAGACTGTAACTCTTGGTTGGAGTAGAATGCCTTGCTTTCTCCAGTGGGGCAGCTGATGGTTTTGTACTATTGACCTTGAGGTTAGCAGCCCAACACAAAACCGCACACCACTAGAGCTCCTCCCTAGACAGGATTAGGGTGCCCTAGATCCCGATTTTAATTGAGGATGTGAACTAAGCCACACCCCTTTTTTCCCCTTGGGAGCATCTTTAGATTCCACTAAAGCAGTGGTTTTCAACTTTCCTAATGCTTTAGGAAATGCTTTAGTGACCCTTTAATAGTTCCTCATGTTATGGTGACCACCCCCCTCCCAACCATAAAATTCTTTTCTTTTCCTTTTCCAATTTTTTTTTATTAAAATAATCATTTTATTAGGGGCTCATACAACTCATCATGTACCCGTCATCTGTGTCCATAAAATTATTTTCATTGCTACTTCATAACTGTCGTTTTGCTACTGTTATGAATCGGGCGACCCCTGTGAGGGTCGTTTGACCCCAAAAGGGGTCTCCACCCACAGGTTGAGAACCACTGCACTAAAGGGTTTGACTTAAGACCTCATCCTTTGTTCCACTAGAAGACAATTCCATAACTCCAATCAAAGCAATTCCCAATTGAAGCCTTACTGTGACTTTTGGACATTTTGGGTTTCTGGCTCTGGACCTGCATTTGGTTTGCTTCGGCCTGACCTTCAGATTGGGGGCTGAACAGCACCCATAACCACGTGAGACATTTCCTTCAAGGTGCATGCATTTCTGTGGGAAGTTGCAGTGAATTACAGAACCTGGGGGTGTGAGGGCTGTACTCAGAGAAGAAGTGGGGGGAAATGGAGGGAAACAGTGTCATTGGACATGTGGGACATTCTTAAACTCCCAACTCTTTGGGACTAGTTTGGTATTAATCTACCACACGGGCTTACTGATCTGATAGAAACTATGGCCCTTAGATTCCCTTCAGGCCTGTAACGGAATGCTCTCTCGTGGCTAAATGACAGGCAGACCTAGAAAGTGAATAACACCAAGCATACACACTCCTAAGAACACTCAGCCAGTGGCAATCAATGAGGGGCTGATGCCAGGGGCTTACGTGGCGAGCAGATGTTTTGAGAATGATGAGGTTAATGAACGTACAAATGTGCTTTATACAATTGATGGATGTATGGATTGTGAATAAGAGTTGTATGAGCCCCCAATACAATGATTTAAAAAAAAAAAGTAAATTGCAAAAAAAAAATCTGTGATTATCAGAGCCACCACTCTCACCTTTCAAGCTAATAAAATTTTTATTTGAAGACTTAAAAAGATGGCTATTGATGTCCCAAATCAAAATATGCACGTACATTTGAATAGAAAATCAATTTGCTCTTTAAGCTTTTACCCAAATCACAATAAAAAGTTTTTGCTGTGCTTTTGTGTTAAAGAAGAAATTGGACAACAGCTTACACTGGGCAAATCTGCTGCACCCCCACCCCCTCCGCCAAATTATGAGAGGGCTTCAAAAAGCTTGTGTAAAAGTTCCATTACCTTTCATTGTATTTTTTCATGAACTTTTGAAATCCCCTTGTATGAGAAGTGAGCCAAGAGGATGGGCAAGGCCATTCTCGGCAGAGGCCACAGTGAGCACATAAGTGATGGGCTTGGGTGACGCCAGGCGTGCCAGGTTATGAACGGCGAGGACTCTGGGAGCCCTTTTTCTAAGCTAGATAGTAAGCATCTGAGGCCTCGAAGCCCCCTACCTTTGAGTCAGTTCTCACTCACAGTGACCCTGTGAGAGGACAGGGTGGAGTAGGAAAGGCCCATGAGCTTTCCAAGACCATGACTGTGGACTGAGGCAAACTGCCTCAGCTTTTTCTCAGGGAACACTTGGTGGGTTGAATCTCCCTGTCCTTGACCTTTAGGCTATCAGCCCAACTTTCAACCTACTGCACCATGTTGAGGGGGTGGGGGTGGGCACTGTAAACCAGTGAGAGAGCACTCTCAAATTCTCTTCATTGCTCAGGATCCTGCTGGGCACAGAGGATTAAGTCCACACACCTCACAATGGCAGCTAGATTAACTCATCTCTAGTCCTACCAATCAGGGCTCCCGTCCCACCCCCCCTTACCCTCCCCTCCCCTCCCCGTATCTTTGTTCTCATGGTAACTCTTTTTGGTCAGAATCCTCCATGCTACTCAATAAGAAGCTACTCCAAGAACAAGACCCCCATTGCCTTTGGGCCAATTATAATGTGGTGACCCCAAGTGTTGCAGTATAGAAATTTGGAAGCAAATTGCCAGGCCTTTTCTCCACGGCACCACAGGCTGACTGGCTTCGAATCACCAACCTTTGGGTTACGAGACAATGGGAAGTCTTTTGTAGCATCACTGCCCAGAGATTCCATTACCTGCAGTGAAGCCTTTCTTTCCCACCCTCCCAGACATGTCACCTCCTCTTGTGCACATGTCAGCTTCTCTGAGTCCAATGCTATTCAACCTTAAATTGGGATTAAATCATTATGTCATCTGGCCCCCCACCCCCACCTCCCACCCCCAGCCACTTACAGAAAAGCATGCTGCTGCCTGGGGTATGTAAAGAGTTGGAAAACGTTAGGAGCTCCAGAGCCATTTACAGAATGAATGAATGAATTGGATGAATGAATGAACATTTGACCTGCTACGGCCTGGCACAGAGCACAAGGCGAACGCCTTTTTCATCCGTCCCTGAAGGCCACACGGTGTCTGCAATATTGCGGGTGTTCGGAAAATGGGGCCAGTCTCTGCTCTGATGGACCCTAGCTAGGCTTTTTGGAGAAAGGGTTGCGTGAGTGAAGGTGAAGTTGGTCGTCAAAAAGCAATGCCGGTGGACGTTTTATTCTGTCTCCACATAGCACGGAGCAGGCGCGCAAGAAGTGCCTGCTGCCTGGACGGCGGTGGCAAGTCAGAGCCCAGGGGCAGACAGCATTCCCACCCCCCCCCCACCCCCCGCCGCCCCCTCCTCCAGGCTGGCCGCCCTCCTCCCCACCCTCCTGCCCCGCCCCACCCTTACAGTATATCCTCGCGGATGGAGGTGCCATGGCTGAGGTTGTGAAAGCGAACGGAGACGCAGTCTCTGGGAACGAAGGAGCACCTGTTCTCCTTCTTGTAGGCGCTGAAGCACTCCTTGAAGTCTTCGTAGGTCTCGAAGCAGCTGCCCAGCTCCATGGCCACCCCCTCCGCCCACACCTGGGGCTCAGAAATCACCCTGAGGGTCTACAGGTAGCCTAGCTCCCTTAGAGGTTGGGCCTCACTAGCGGGAATGAAGGACGGGAAGAGGCTGAAAACCGAGCGAGTTGTACGGGAGACGGGCGTCTGACAGGCGGAAAGCGACTTCAGGCCCTATTATTTAGCCCCGAGGCTCCGCCCTCTCACTGAATACCCAATCACACGCGGGATCCCCAGACTGGCATCCACTTTCTCCAATTGTTAGAGCCGTCCAGGCACGCCTCCAAGGGGACTGACAGGCATAACAACCAATCACAGCTGGAGTCCCGCCTTCTCTCGGTCCTGCAAGGTACTTCCGGCGCTTAGCGCCCTATGCCTGCCGGAAGCTAGGGGCTCCGAGCAAGGTCTCCGCGTGCCGACCCCCAGCGCAGAGTCCGGTCCCGGCAGCCGGAGAGCAAGATGTCCTCAAAGGCCCCGGAGAACAGTCAGGGCGGCGGCGATTCCCCGGGGGACCTCCGCAGCGTCCTGGTCACCAGCGTGCTCAACCTGGAGCCTCTGGATGAGGGTCTCTTCAGGTAGCTGGCAGTACCTAGCCCGCGCGCCCGACTGAGCCAGAGGCTCATGACCTGGACTGCCACCAACCCGTGTCCCCCAGCGCCGGAAGTGGGATGGGCTTTGCGCTCCGTGCAGCCTCTGCCGCAGTAGAAAGGGTTAGATAACGCAGCCCCCGCTCCCTCCCTCCGACTCCCGCCGGCACTGTGCAGCGCCATGCCTTGGAGGCCGGTGTGATCCGAGCACATACCTGGTGACCTGAGCGCGCTCGACTCATAGGGGTCCAGTCCTTAGGGGGATTCCAGCCCAGAGGTGATGGTGATTCGCCGAAGGGCACACGGCTGGACAGGTTTAAAATTCGAGTCCCTGGATTCTCAGCTTCTTTCATTTTTTGCCCCCATCCTTCACCTCTTCCATACATAGCCCTTCCTCACGGCTTAGTAGCACATTGCCCATCCTGAGATCCGAGCTTGCTGCCTCTTTTCCTTGCTAGCTTCACGTAAGCTCATTGACGGCAGCTGAAGATGCAATTGCGTTGGCCTCCAAAACTGGTGTTACTGAAAACGATCGCTGCCCTTAACCTCCCTCCCTTCCTGTCCCAAGTAACCCAAAGACGCTGCCTCTAATAGGGATCCGATGGGACTAGGAGCTAGCCATCCAAGCTGTACGTCTTTTAAGGAAGCTGACTGCCTGACTCATCTTTTTCCTGGGTTAGTCTCTCAGACTCCCTTTTGCCCCTTTTAACAGCCTGCATATAACTTCCTGGAGGGCTCTTGGTCATGCTGTGCACAATGCTAATGTGGGGCTGTGGCTATGAAGACTGGTCTTTCAGCCTTCATCAGGCTCACAGGCCTGGGGAGTTTTCTTTTTTACTTCTGGGACTCAGTTTCCTCATCTGTCCATTTCCAGCTCAATCTGTTTTTAGGAAGAACTGAGCTGCCACGGTGGAGGAGTAAAGGGGCCAGGCCAAACTGTAGTCCATCCCCAGCTCAGCGCTTGGGGTCCATCTTGGTCCACCCAAGCAAGGCCTTGAGGCTTCTGTCTCTGGAAGAAATGTTGAACTTGCGATCCAAAGACCCCAGTAATGCCTAAGATTTAAAATGTCTAAACGGTGTGCCACTGACTCTCTCTGATCCCCATACTCTGAGTGTAAAATAAGTTAGCCCAATTGAATCCACAGAAGGTGGTCAGGAAGGCCATGGAGTTGTGGAATGATGTATCCGGATGGTTTGCCTGAGAGAGAGTCCCTGGCATTCATTCACCCATTTCTCAAGAGGATCCTCAAGTTAAGGGGTCCTGCAGTGAGAGTGGAAGAGTTGCCTCACCTCGCCCCACCCCCCAACTCCGCCCACCCACACCCAAGTCTTTCCCACTTTTCCTCTCCTCCCGCAGAGGAAGGCATTACTGGGTGCCCTCAACGCAGCGGCTGTTTGGGGGTCAGATCGTGGGGCAGGCCCTGGTGGCTGCAGCCAAGTCTGTGAGCGAAGACGTCCACGTGCATTCCCTGCACTGCTATTTTGTTCGGGCAGGTAAACCACCCCCAACCCAAGCCTGGGGCCCCAGCAGCCATCTCCTGATCTTGGAGGGCTGCCTGAGGTTAAAGGGGAGAGGGGCTTCGGAGCCATCTCCTTCTGGCACTGGGGGAAAAACGGAGGCAGGGAATTCCAGTCTCGGAGCCAAGAAATGAACGAGGTTCAGGGCCAACAGAGCCATGGAGGACACTTGCCGACAGACACTGTTTGCTTGTTCTCTGACCCGACCGTGCTTAGCTAGTGCCTGTTGGTGCCAGCGCTAGATTGGGTCCTTGGATAATTTAGAAACCTCTGCTAGCGGCTGGGGCGTGAAGGCAGCCTGGTTTGGAGAAAAGAGTTCCCACCTGGTGGGAGGCTTTTTTGTAGCTCTGGGATCAGAGGCAATCTGAAAAGCCAAGCTTTCTTTTCAGAAATTGAGAAATCCCATTTCCTTTCCGTCCCCCTCTGGTCAATCCAAACTCACTGCCCTAGAGTCATTCCAACTCAGGGCGACCCTATAGGGCAGGCTTTCTGAGACTGTAATCCTTTAGGGGAGTAGAAAGCTTGTCTTCCTCCCGCGGAGCAGCTGCAGACTTTGTACTGCAGACCTGGAGGTTAGCAGCCCCATGTGTTACCTCCACCACCAGGGCCTCTTCCCCCCAGGGCCAGGCAAAGGGGGTGGGGGTGGGGATGTCCTAAGTGTTTGTTAGTTAATCTCCAATGAGGCAGTTTAAGGTCTGAGATAGTTAACAAAGGCCTATCAAAGGAAAGCCAAGGGCAGAGAACAGGCTTTAGTAACCGGAGCTTGTGGGGAAATGACATTCCCTGAAAACTGGCTGAGGCATGCTTTCAAAATTTAGTTCTCAATTCCACTCCTGGGCAGCAAAGCCTAGAGGGAAACACCATCTGTATAGATATACTTAATAAAAGATGCCGGTGGCGTGCAGTCCCCTGCAATTTAAAGGATCAATTCAAGAGTCCAGGGCAGAATGTTCAAGTATTTTGAAGTTTTTTTCTTAGGAAGGTGAAAGAATGTAATAGAGGAATGTCAAGCAGACTACTGGCTTAGAGCTTGGAGAATCGAGAACAAGGGACCGCAAAGGTTTTGTCCCTGTAAAGGACCGTGCAGGGCAGGCCTCTTTTGGTGGCAGCTCAGGTCTGCTGGGAAGCTTGGGAGAACAGCCAAAGCAAAATCGCCCGGGGGGCATTGCAGCTGTGTTCCAGAGAAGCTTCACTTGACCAGAACAGATGGCCTACACCCCTCTCTGGATCAAGGTTCTGGTCACTGACAACTAGAGAGGGCTGTATTGACCAAGCATGTCCTGGGCTAGCTAGTGTCCTCGACATTTAACAATGCTGAGCTCTTTCAGTTCTTCTGAAACTCTTGGTCAGAGCACTGGGGAAGGTCTCCATTCCACAGAGGAACTGTGAGCTGCTCCGAGAGGTTAGGTGACTTGCCGGGATCACAGTGGCAGCAGCAGGGTACGAACACGGGAAATCTGGCCGGGTCCTGGCATCCTGTTGTTGTATCTCTGGTCAGGTCTCGTGTCAGGTCGCTAGCTGCGGAATAAAGGTGCCCATCTGGCCTTTCACCCGGTGCCCCTTGTGCTCACTGCAGGGGACCCGAAGGTGCCCGTGCTCTACCAGGTGGAGCGGACGCGGACAGGAAAGAGCTTCTCGGTGCGCTCCGTGAAGGCCGTGCAGCATGGCAAGCCCATCTTCATCTGCCAGGCCTCCTTCCAGGAGATCCAGCCCAGCCCCGTGCAGCACCAGTTCTCCATGCCCACCGTGCCCCCGCCAGAGGAGCTGCCCAGCTATGAGACCCTCATCAACCAGTACTTAAGGTGAGGGCAGAGCTTTCAATCAGCGGGGATGGGGTGGCTGGCTCTCGACCAGCATTTCCGAAAAGAGAGGCAGCCCTGGAGTGGAGTGCAGGGAGCAAGGGCAAGAGGTATTGTGCGAAACTTTGTTTCAGGTGTGTTTTCCGGCGAGGGTGGGATGGATTGAGTCCGGTGCAGGCACCCAGGCACCGCTGCAGTTTACTGGTGGTTAAAATAGTCAAGAAGAACCCCTAGGTGACTAGGTGAATGAATAGTCACCTCCCCAGGCCACTGAATGCATGAGCCCCTCCCCTTTCTCTGGATCATCTGTTGTCCAGCATCTTAGGAGTTAATGCCTGGAAGGGGTGGGGTTCTTAGACCCTCTGCTGCAGAACTGTGGCCTCATTTACTCTGTTCACTACCTTTGCTTCCCAAGCCAAAACCCAGGTTTGGGGTCCGTTCCAAAAGACAGACTAGGACTTGCCCCTAGGGCAGTGGTTCTCAACCTGTGGGTTGAGACCCCTTTGGGGGTTGAACGACCCTTTCATAGGAATCGCCCGATTCCTAACAGTAGCAAAATGACAGTGATGAAGTAGCAACGAAAATAATGTTATGGTTGGGGGGGTCACCACCACATGAGGAACTGTATTCAAGGGCCACTGCTCCAGGGTTTCCAGGGCTGTATTAAGCGAGCCAACTGCTATGTATTGCTCCCATGGGGTGGCTAGTGAGTTTCAACTACCAACCTTTTGATAAACAACAGAATGCTTTTCACAGCTCTACCCGCAGGGCTCCTGGTTTTTTCCCTGCTGTTGAGTTGGCATTGTGGATTCTGTGAGATGGCATTGATCCTACAGGCAGAATCCAGCTGCCCCCTGGGGTTTCCCAGGCTGTGAGCTTCATAGAAGCTGACCACCTCATCTGTCTCTAGCAGAGAGACCCGTGGGTTCAAGCCACCGGCTTTGTTAGCAGCCTGGTACTTTAACCACTGCTCCACCAGGGCCCTGGCCTTTGCCTTCTCTGCCTCCTCACCAGCATCAAGCCAGTGCTGACACTTAGCCAACCCCCTGTGGGTTTCGGAGACTGTAACTGTTTTCAGGGGTAGAAAACCTAGCTTTTTTCCCACAGAGCTACTGGTGGTTTCAAACTCCTGACCTTGCTGTTGGCAGCCCAACTCGTAACCCCTATCCCACCAGGGCCTTACTTTGCCTTACTAGGTGTTAAAATAATTCTGATATCACCTGGTAAAATGTATTTCTCCCTTGGATCACAGCCAGTAACGTTTGAAAGAGACTTTGCAGGCGATAGAGCTCTGGAGCATCTAAAAGATGGGAGGGGTCACTTCTGCCCTGCCTGGGGGTCACAGCTGAACCCCAGGGCTATGTCCACTCCTAGGACTTGTGCCAGATGCCAGGGAGGCAACAGGGTCCATTACACAGACGTGGGCCTGTGTTCCAGTCTGTCCCTACTTGCTGTGTGGTGTGGACAAGTTGCTTCCCCACTCTGTGCCCTCCATTGCAAAGTGGCACTAATAATGATTGCCATCTCGCGAGGCTGCTGTGGGGATTAAGTGAGGAAGGGCACTTGGCAGGGCCTGGGGAAGTCGTAGTGTTAACACTGGGGACACGAGAGGGATAAGCAAGGGGCCTGGTATGCAGTGAGCGCTCAGTAAATGCTGAGATGACCGAAAGGCACTGCTCTTAAGGGGTCCTGAGTCTGGAGCTGCACCGTCCAGTCAGGGAACCACTGCCACATGAAGTTAACTAAGGGAACCAACAATTCAGTCTCTCAGTTGTCTTGACCACCTTTTTGGAGCTCGGGTAGCCAAGCCACATGTGCTAGTAGCTCCCACAGTGGCCAGGGCACATCTAGAACATTCCCCCACAGAGATGGCTGGGACAGGGATGAAAATGGCCACCCCCCGAGGGAGCCGTAGAGGTGGTGGTTACTGGACTGAGAAAATGCTTTAGCAGTGAGCCCCTTTCTCTGGGCGGGGTGGGGTAGGGAGGGCGGATAGAAGACAGTGCTCACAGTTGTGTGTCCAGCCACGTTCCGGCAGGACCAGTGTCCCTGAGGGACTTGCATAGTGAACGAAGAGTACCAACTGGAACCAGACCACTGGACTCCCAGTGCTGCACTCCCCACTTCCTGAGCCAGCTCCTTGGTTCTGCGTTGACTGCGGATACAGGGGGTGGGGGAGGGGGTGGGGGTAGTTGTCCAGAGGGTGGAGTGGGGGCACGAGTTAGTGTGAAATGCCTAGAATGCCTCTCTGGGGTCCCTCAGGCCACAGGCTGTGGCATCAGTCGCCACATTCCCAATTCTGAGCCAGGCAATGGCCTCCAAGCTATTTCCAGCTCCCACAGGCAGGCCGCTGGGTTCCACAGGGCAACAGAAGGCTCAGGAGTGTTGCGATTGCGTCTGTCGCAGCAGAGGGTAGCTTTGGGGACAAGCCAGGCATCCTGAGGGGGAAGGAGGAGGTCAGCTATGAGGCTCCCCTCTCCCTTACACAGGGACCCAAACCTCCACAAGAAGTACCAGCTGGGTCTGAACAGAATTGCCGCCCAAGAGGTGCCTATTGATATCAAGGTCGTAAACCCACCCACCGTGAACCAGCTAGATCACTTGGAGGCCAAACAGATGTTCTGGGTGCGAGCCCGGGGCTACATCGGTAAGCGCTCTGGGGCTGTTCGCTGTGCGACTTTGGATCTGGTACTTCCCCTCTGGTTCCTTAGGGGCCTGCAGAATGGAGAAGCTGGGTCAGTTTGTCACCAGGGCTCTGTCAGCCCTCCAGGGAAGGTGATTATCGTCCCAGGGAGGTCCTGTCTGGGGAAGGCAGGGCGCCTCTGGAGGTTTGCCCTCCAGGCCTGTGAATCCCAAGGTGCCCGCAGGCTGCAAAAGGCCCTCCTTTCAGGGGCTCAGAGTGAAAACTGTTTCCATTCTCTATCTGCCCCTCACCCCCTGCCACAGACACCCCTTGGGCCAGGCAGGTCCTGCACCTGTACCTGGCAGCCCCTTCTCCCCACCCCCTGCAGGTCCTGAGCCCAGGAGCCCAGGGCTGACGGGCCGGGACCTGTTGCAGGGGAGGGCGACATGAAGATGCACTGCTGTGTGGCCGCCTACATTTCGGACTACGCCTTCCTGGGCACGGCGCTGCTGCCCCACCACGGGCAGCACAGGGTGCACTTCATGGTCTCCCTGGACCACACCATGTGGTTCCACGCCCCCTTCCGAGCGGACCACTGGATGCTGTACGAGTGCGAGAGCCCCTGGGCTGGTGAGTGCCGGGCCGTGGGGGTGGGGGCAGGGCACCACCCCGGAGCTGCAGGTGAGGCCATTTCCTTGCATCCTTCATCATGACAGGGTGGGGCTTGAGGATGAGCTAGCGTCTCAAATTTTCCAACGTGCTGGGTTAGGTCATGGGAGTAGAATCCACAGAGGCCCAGGGCTGGTCTCAGAGCCCCTCCAGACTCAGGGTGACTTGGGGCAAATCCTATTGTCTGAGCTAGGGAGGCTGTGCTGGGCTGTGACTTGGGGGAGCTCCTTAAGAACAGAGTCTCAGCTCCAGCCCCCCCCAACCCCCCCCACCCCCAGGCTCTGATGCTGCATTTGACTGCTGATGAACCTGGCTGGGCATGTCTGGAACTCCCCGGTCCCCATGGGCCATCCTTTATGGGAAAGAGAAAGCCAGCCTGGTTGGTTCATCAGTGTCTAGTCTCAGAACCTCAAGTTCCTTTCTAAGAAGGTACGCCTCACACAGAGAGCCCCACTGGGCAAAACCTGGACGAATGTTTTTGAGGAAGCCAGTAAGTGAAAGTGCTTTCCTCGCTCAAGGAGGGCGCCTGGGGGAGGGACCGCCCTCCAGGACCAACTTTCATTGGTCCTTCAAAGGGGGTGTGGTGTGTCCCACCCAGGCAGTGGTCGTTTGCACTGGGTGACGGCCCTGCCCTGCTCGGAATCCTTTTCCAGACCCGTGCTAGGCAGTGAGAAGGCCTTGCTCACGCTTCCCCTCTCCCACAGGTGGCTCTCGGGGACTGGTCCATGGGCGGCTGTGGCGTCAGGATGGGGTCCTGGCTGTGTCCTGTGCCCAGGAGGGCGTGATCCGAGTGAAGCCCCACGTCTCAGCGAGCAAGCTCTAGCCAACGGTGCCAGCACGCTTCCCCACCACAGCTGCTGCAGCAGGATTAACGGTGGAAGCCGGGCTCCCCGCCACAGGCACCCAATAAAGAGACTGGTCCCACCGGACCGCTGGCCTTTTATCTCCCCTAGTCGGAACAGCAATGCTCCAGCCACGCTCCATCCTGGAGCCCAGGACCTGAGTCCCCCAGCCTCCCTGGCTTGAAGGCCCTTGGAGAATGGGACATTGGCTCTGACCTGGGCCCAGCCCCGAGCTGTCCTGACATCATCCCTGTCCCATTCCAGGGCTGCCGCCGCCAGTGCACCCCCAGAGCCCAGTGGGGCAGAAGCAGCACCTGTTCCTTGGTCTGCTGCAGGTTTTCTTTGCATTCCATCTAGGGCAGCAGTTCTCAACCTGTGGGTTGTGACCCTTTGGGGGTGGGGGGTGGGTCAAACAACCCTTTCACAGGAGTCGGCCGATTCATAACAGTAGCAAAATGAGTCATGAAGTAGCAACAAAAATAATTTTATGGTTGGGGGGGGTCACCACCACATGAGGAGCCATATTAAAGGGTCATGGCATGAGGAAGTTTGAGAACCACTGCTCTAGGGGCTCCCAGCACCCCCCAGGCTAGGCTTAGTCCAACACCTCCTTGATGAGCAGCTCTTTGAGGCTGGGGGGCGGAGTAGGGGTCAGGCCTGCCTCCTGTAAGGCCTGGAGCCGGGCCTCTGTCTGGCGTTTGTCCAGGCCCAGGCGCCAAGAGAGCCGGACATGGGCCTCCAGAAAGGGTGCCAGCAGCGGGTGGGGGTCCTTGTCCCCCAGCAGCTGCAGGGCCTTCTCACAGCACACCTGAGCCTCCCTGGGGTTCTCCAGCTCTTGGTGGCACACAGCCAACCCCGCCAGGGTCAGCAGCGGCCGGTCTGGGCTAGAGGGGGTGCCGAGCTGGGTCTGCAGCTGCCAGGCATTGTCCCACAGCGCCAGGGCCTCACGGTAGAGGCCAGTGCAGGTGAGGCCCTGGGCCCGCCGGAGCTCGGGCAGCACGAAGAAGTCCTGCAGGTCCCGGGCACGGCGCAGCTCGGGCACTGCCTGCAGATGGCCCAGAAACTGCTCGAAAGCCCGGCTGCGGCGTGCAATGGTCTCTGCCGTGAAGTTCCGGCGCAGGCGCTTCCTGGGGAAGGAGATGGCCGCCATGGGGCCCCGGAACCGCCGCTGTAGGCTCCGGTGCAGCTGCTCAAAGTCCGAGTAGCGGCGGGAGATCTGGGCTGGCTGGTGGTCTGGGAGACCGGGACCAATCACGGCGAGGGTGTAGAGCTGGAAGGGTGTGATAGGATGTGAGTCAGGGCAGGTACCGCCTGTCCACTGGCCCTTTTCCTCCCCCTCCCCATGCTCCCCATCCCTCCCCAGGTAGGTCTGGGCCCCGGAAGGTGGGAACTGCTGGGGCTGTGGCCAGGGGATCCATCCCATCTTACCTGAGGCTCGTCTGAAATGACCCAGGCCCATCGCAGCACAAAGAGAAAGACAGAGATGAACTTCAGTGCCGGGGACAGTTGCCCCCCTCCTAGGGGGCACCCCTGCCCCACAGGGCTGCAGCCCTTCAGACAAACCCCAAGCTGTTCCCAGGCCCAGAGGATGGGTCTCAGGCAACCCTGTCAGTGGTAAATGTGATGGACCCAGGACCCAGGCTCGCCTCCGTGCCCCAGGTTTGCCTCGGCTTCACTGTGTGACTTTAGCCCGGAGAAGCATCTGCTTCCTCAGGCAGGGGGATGCAGTCGGTGGTGTTTGCTGGAGCTTTAAGTCCCAGCATCAGTAAGGATGACTTGCAGACCGGAGCCTTGGCCCCTCTTGTTTCCTGGTCACGTCTGGTCACAAATGGAGAAGCTCTCAGGAGGGCGCTTTATTGACGATTGACTTAGCCAACCAACTAAAGAGCCAGCAGGCTCTTTTAAAGTCAATATTAGGCAAGTAACAGTCCAGGTGGTTTTCCGCTAGGACGAGAACTGGGAAGGCAGTTCTAGAAGGACTGAGGTTTGGGAAAGGGGTGTGTGTGGGGGGGAGGGGGTGGTGGTGGTGGTGTGTGTGTGTGTGTGAGTGTGTGTGTCCCCAGGGTCTGAGGCCTGAGTAAGGATCAATGCTTAGAGGCGTAGATGCGGGGATTAGCCAGTGTGGAGTGCTAAAGCACACTAACCCAAACCAAAGACAAGCCAGTTGCTATGGAGCTAATTCCAACCCATGGGCGACTCCCCCGGGTGTCACAGTAGAACAATGCTCCACAGGATGTTCTGTGGCTGTGACCTTTGGCTAGCAGACAGCCAGGGCTTTCTTCCGAGGTACATTCAGGCTGCTGTTAGTGCCACCCAGGGGCTCTACACGAACACAAGACCCCACCTTTACTCCTCCATGTTGTGAGGAGCAGCAGGGGTAAAGCCACCCGCGGCCACTTCACCTCTTGAAGTTTCTCCACATATATTAATGCGGTGGTTTCTGGTTGGTACTGTCACGTTGGCATGACTCCTGGCGACCCCGTGCACAACAGGAGGATGACACCTGGTTCTGCGCCACGCCGCACCATCGGTGCCATGTTTGAGGGCGCTGTTGCAGCCACTGTCAATCCCGCTTGTTGAGGGTCTCCTCTTTCTCTGACCCTCTACTTGATCAAGTATGTTCAGAGAAGGGGTCCGACTTTCCATTCAAATCTACATTCCCGAAACATGCTGCCTGTCAAACCCTTTCTTGAACGATTACTACCGTCCCAGGGAACTGCTGCTTTTCAGGAAACACCAGTCTCTAATAACCGCTCATGGTCTTCTTTGGGCAAAACACGGTGTACATCTGTGATCTCTTAGGATCCTTGGAACCTCATGCCAAGGCAGGAAAGCCACAGCTGGAGCTCCTGAGCCTAACCTTGCCCTATGCCATGTGCCAAGCACTTTGCGCTTTAATTTCACCCCCATTGTCACAGCAGCCCTGACAGGAAGACACCATGGCTGGTAAACAGACAAACTCACTGCTGTTGAGTGAATGCCAACTCATTGGGGCCCTACAAGACTGAACAGAACTGCCCCTAAGAATTTCCAAAACTAACTCTTTAGGAGGGTAGGAGAGTAGAAAGCCCTGTCTTTCTCTTGCAGAGCAGCTGATGGTTTCAAACTGCTGGCTAAGGGGTCGCAGCCCCATGCGGGACCACTCTGTCTCCAGGGCTCCCCCAGGTAAATGGGGAGGGGAGAGGGGTAAACACTTGCTTGGAGGCACACAGCTGATAAGTGGCCCTGCTGAGATTCAAACCCAGGGTAATTTCAGTCCCAAGGCCTGTGTTTTCAGCCCCCAGAAGTTAGATGGGGGTCAAAATCGGGCCCCTATCCTTCCTTGCCTCTGTGCTGCTGCTAGGTGACAGATCTTTGGTGTCCCCTTCCTGGGCACAACACCCCCCCCTCCATCCCAGAGCTCTGAGACCTTGGCCTATCACAGAGTCAATCCCTGCTCAAATTTGGGAGAAGCAGGGCCAATGGGCGTGGCCCTGTTTACGAACAGCAGTGGAGGGTGGAGAGGCCCAGATGTGGGACAGGGCTCTAGGCTCCCTTCTTGCTGAGTCACAGGCAGAGGAGGAGGAGGAAGAGGATGGTGTAGAGAGATAGGACAGGCAGGGCACCACCCCCACTCCCCACAACCAGGATTGGTCAGGACGGGCTGGGTTTTAGGCCTGGCAGACCAAATTCCCTATGCCAGCTCCTCCCAAATTGAAGAAAATGGGGCTCTCTCCTGCACGCTACTCTTTCTCCAGCCCTGGTCCCCTAAGTCTAGGCCTTAGGACAAGATTAAACTCGTACTATTAGGGGTGGGTGTTTGAGAATGGATTCACCTGGATTGGAAGGAAGCACACAGTAGGGCCAAGCTGCCAGCCCTTTCAACCAAACCTCTGGTCATCCAGTTGGTTCCCACTCGGAGCCATCCTAAAGGACCAGAACTGCCCTCTCACTGTGTTTCCCAGGCTGTCATCTTTATAGAAGTAGTCTGCCTCATCTTTCTCCCGTGGGGTTGCGGGTGCGTTCGAACCACCCCCACCTTTGGGTTAGCAGCAGTACTGTATGCTTAACCATAGCACAACCAGGGCTCTTTATCCCCAAACCATACCCACTGCTATTGGGTCAATTTCCACTCACCACGACCCTAACTATGGTCTCCAAGGCTCTGCAAAGGGAGTGGACAGTCCACCTTTCTTCCTCGGAGCAGCCGATGGGCTAGCTGTCCTGTGCTTACCCAGGTGGCACCACAGAGGCCCCTTGCAGCTACCATTTTACTGAGCAAGTCATGGCGCCAGGCAGGCACAAGGCGAAGGGCTTTCTGGACACCAGCTCCTTTCATGCCTGTGAGCATCCTCTGAGACAGACACCATTGTCATTATCCCCAGGGGCCCCATGAGGGTCACCAAGGTCACATGACACTCCCAACATCCAACACCTGGGACTGATCTCAAATGAGTGGGATCTGAATCAAGTGCTGTTGTGTAAGTGTTAGCCATCAGCAGCCCCAAGGGAGACCCATCCAGCTACCCTGCTCATGGAAAGACATAAAGCCTCGGAAACCCTAAATCGGGGCGTGGTGAGTGGAACCCACTGGATTCTTTAACCTCTACCACTAACCGTGCCAACTGGGCTGTAAATCTAAGCAGATAGCGCCACCCCACCCCCACTTTTGTATCTTGCTACAATATGCAAAACCCTTTCCCACAAGTCAGTTCTCTTGGCCACAGAGCCAGAAGCAAGCTCATCAACTCCAGTATCTAGTCAGCCTCAGGAAAGCTACCTCATCTGCGGGCCTGATGGCCTCAGTGTCCTCATCTGTAAAACGGGGCAGCCAGGCCCAGCCAGGCCCAGCCTCCCGGCTGCCCTCCTCCCACTTAGCCAGGCCAGACTTCTGGGCACCCAGCCCAGGGCCAGGATCCTCACTCACCACGTACTTGGAGGGTGGGTCCTTGACGACATTGGCGCTTGTCACTTCGAAAAGCAGCCGCTGGGATACCAGGGTGCTCCTTGACTTTTTCCAGAAGTCCTGCAGCTGCCGGGTCAGGAGCTGACTGCCCCGAGGCGCGTCAGGTGGGGTGCTCAGTTCTGTGGGTGTACGGGTCCAGGTCAAGGCACTGCGCCTGGGGGCCGGGACTGAGGGGACCCCAGCTATGGGGTGGCTCCTCACCCTCTTACAGAAATGGAAATTGAGGACCAGCTGATAATGGCAAATGGGGCCTGGAACGGAGACACTCACTGCTGTCCACGCCGCCCCACCCTTGGCTGTAAATATTTATGCTGATCTCTCTCTGGAGACCCTGCTGGGGTCAAGGGGCTGACCTTTTAGGTTAGGCTCGCGTCTGCAGCTAAACCTTTCCACCCCAAAGCATGGCTAGCACATTAACCCAGGACCTGTAGGTTTAAAACTAGCCCTGGCTTTGGGACGGGGTGATTTTGTTTTCCTATTTGACACTGGGGACAATTTGGCTGGGAGAGGTGTTGTGGCTCTCTCAAGGTCACCTAGCCAAGAGGTGACTGGGGGGGAGGGGGCACTTGAAGAAGTGCTGGGGAGTTTGCTGGGTCAACTCCATGCGCCCCCAGACGCTTCCTCCCCACCGCTCCAACCCCAGGAACACGGCTGGGATGGCGGCCCAGGGACCCGTCCCTTCCCCTCCAGGACCACACGCCCACCCCCGCACTCGCCTGCGTCTATTCCCGACGCCCCGTCCCCAGGAGCCAGCGGGTCGGGGCCAACCTCCTCGTCGCCCTCGTCGTCCTCGTCGTCGGCGCTGGTGAAACTGAGGGTGCCGCTTAGGCGGGAGGACAGGCCCTCGGCGTCGTCGTCTTCCAGCTCCGAGCTCTCCGGGAGCTGCTCGG